CCTGTCTCTTATACACATCTAGATGTGTATAAGAGACAGCCCCTGGACTCCAGGGTAATCAATGCTGGCAGGAACCGCCCACATTGTTCTTCGGATGTACTCTAATTTCAATCTGTATATGGGACGCTGGACCCGTTTTCCAGCAGGTGATGCTCCCCACCAATAGATGGAGCCTCTCCCCAGGTGCTACTGGTGTCTGCTCTTATCAGCATCAATAACACTGGTGGGGTTGTTTTTCCAAAAAAAAAAAAAAAAAGAGTTCCTGTGCTCCACCAGCTACTCACGAGAGAAACACGTAGCTTGACGTGTCAGAAGACCGGTCTTCACCCGAATAGAAAGGCCGGTCATTATCGCTGCATCTGGACTGAAAAATGGCCCAAATGGAAAATACAGCTATAATTGTGAACGGGCGTTATATTCGGGTGAAGACGGTAGCACCCTTAATCGCACTCTTCACATTATCACGCCGACGAAAAGTGTAACATTGTCCAAAAAACACACAAAGAAAGGAATGCTGTCAATGATACCGGCCCTCGGTTGCCCCAAGGCAGTCAGGAGGTTCATCTTTATGGAGTTGACGCACTTGTCACTCTTGTCCGAATCACACTCACCTTCTCTGACTTCAGTGGCGATCAAGCCTTCTCCTCTTCCTTGCAAAAAAAAAAAGAAAAAGAAAGACCGAAAGAAAAAGAAAAAGAAAGACCCGGCTTATTGCCCAAAGGATTAGATTATCATCATGCCATACTGCTGTGACAACTACTGAATCAGATCATCTTCAACCTCTATGCATGATTACTCTGAGCCCAACCGTCATTTCACCCCGCCGATCTCTTCCACATCTTTGAGTGCAATTCACGCTGCATCCTCCCTCATCTACATCCACTACCCCCCCCCTGTCTATACTATATAACCAAGTCAACGGCTGACTGCCCGTGTCTATTCTTGCTGCTCCTCCTGTATTCGCACTGCACAGTCATTCGTTTTCTTTTTTTTTTTTAATTTAAATTTGGACCATTTCTCGATTTACGAGTGCCATCCTTGCGCAGGGCCCATGCATGCTGATCTTCTCCGTATTGTTCCAATTTTAACGGATGTCCCCAAGGACAACGCACTGCACAGTCGTATGTTTTTGCAATCTGTAAGTTAACCTGCTTGACCATGAATAGCTCGACAGACAGACACTGTCAGTCGGTTCATGCTGAATCCTCCTTCCTCCTTCCTCGTCTGCGTCCACGCTATCCCCCACATCGATACGATACCATATAGCCAAGTCAACAGCTGACTGCATGCGTCCATTCTTGCCGCTCCCGTATCCGCTCTGCACACAGCTGTCAGCTGTAAGTTTTTTGCAAATGTAAGTTTTTTGCAGCTCTAAGTTTTTTTGCAGCTGTAAGGTTTTTTGCAGCTGTAAGTTTTTTGCAGCTGTAAGTTTTTTGCAATGTGTAACCTGCCTGATCATGAACAGCTCGGCAGACAGTTGATTGTGTTAACCTTAAGTGGTACCGCTAAACTTGACATTTTGCGATTTAGTCCTCGACTCCTCAACGGTCAAGTCCGGATTCGACTTCTACTCTTCCCCGCTCAAGTCCGGATCGTCATCCGGCTGTTGCTGTATCCCACCGAATGCGGTCGCCTTGCAGAACAGGGAACACATCCATTCCGCCCTCGTCAGCACTTTATTCACTCTGCTCCATCAGTCTCCAACGCCACTGTACTAACACCGATACTGTGCACCATAGTCAGTATCGGCGGAAATCCAAATCATACTCCAGTCTCACCATTGTCAACGTAAAGATGAAGTCCTTTTTTTTTTTTTTTTAACGGTTACCAGTCTTGATGCTAGGAACATGAAGTCGATGAGCTCAATGCTCTTTTTAAAGTTTTTACGCCATTGAACATGATCGTCGATGATCTTGAAAAACGTCTATCTCGAAAAAAAATGCGCCTAGGAGCCATGAGGCCTGTGTGGACGTGAGTGCAGCTGTGCGCCATGCAGGACAGAACAGCAGCTGTACGTGCATGTACATGCAGAACACGTGTGCTTGCCAGCACTACCACACGTGCTCGTTATGCCAGCTGTATGGATAAGTGGACGTCGTTATGCCAGCTCAGCACTCGTGGAACATTGCAGAGTACACAGAGGAGACGACCGTTTTTTTAAAGCTGGGTTGTCGGCTCGACCAAGTCCCGAAATTGTTCAGGATTCGCTCATCAAACACAGCAGGCGGCAGGGCGACATCGTATTCATTTTCTGCTAGATATCCTCGCTGTGCAGCTGAATGTTTTCCTCTTCTTCTGAAAAAAAAAGGAAAAAAGAAAAAGGTGACCGCTTTTTCAGGCGTTAAACCAGAGGCTGAATCTGTGCGCCGTGCGCCGTGCGGGTCCATATGCATTTCTCTCGGACGGGGGGCTAAGACCCCCTTGGGGGGGGTACTTGTGGTTTGAGTTCATTACAGGAAATTTTAAAGGGGTCCACTGCCCCTTACATCAGATATTATGCACTTGGCGCTTCCTTTCATATGGTCAAGACGCAAGGGACCCTGAGGCAGCAGCACTGATTAGTTCCAGCAACGTAAGATAATTGAAGTAAAAGAGCCTTGCTCCGCCATTTTGGATCACTGACAGGCCTTTCAGCTGCTTTGTTCAGGCTTGAAGAGCATGCACCTGGTCATAATAGTGGCCATGTTCGTGCTTTGTTGGCATGAACATAAGACCAGTGAGGCCTGGCCTTTTGTACAAACACAAGGGTCTTCATTCTCTTCCTCTCCCTCCCTAAGCGTGGACGCAAGGTGTCCTGCTGGTGCAGGTGCACCTCACTGGCTCTCGCCAGAATCGGGGGAAMAAAAAAAAAAAAAAAAAAAAAAAAAAAAAGAATCGGGGTCCCGGAACAGAAAACGAATTTAAAGAAAAAGGGACTAGAAACAAGATCTATTATGCAGCTGAAGTTGGAAATTCACACCTGGAAAAGAGGCCTTTAGATCCTTCACCATAAGATCACAATTCACCGTCGATTTATAAATGTCTCCTCCCACCGTCTTCAAGTTACCGCAGGATGTCAAAAAGCATCCGATCATCCCAACCAATGCCACAACATTCTCTTCCTCCGCCGCCGCGTCCTCTTCTTTGCTGCGCAGGTTTGGAAATTCCGGTGGGAAATGACAACGCCGACAGTCTTTATGAATGCATCTGCAAAGATAAATCTTTTCCAGCTGAGGAGAAATGAAAAACGCGCTGCACCAGCCTCGAGTCCCAGAACGATCACGCTTGAAGTTCTCTCTCTGAGACTCCTCTCTACCACTGGATGCTGCAGATTGTGTTGCTTCTGACGTCAGAAGAGGCAGGCGCAAAGACTCCGACTCTGCAGGCTTACCTTTCCCGACTTCAAGGTGCTTGTGGCACCGGGATTGAGGATGCGATGCTGCGTACGGGAACGACAACTCTGCTGAGCTGGCTGCCACGACCCGTTTATAATATTCCTCCATCAGTGCCATGAAATGTGAGCTCAGGTACAAGGATTTCATTCTCTGAAAGCAAATAGGGGCCGCAGCAGAACAACTTGACGCACTGCCTGGTGGACAGGTGCCGCCGATCTTCGCAGCAGAAACAGTTGCAGCAGCAGCAGGAGCCACGTCACCATGAGACGATGTCCCCGAGATTCCCAAACAAGGACCGGTGGAACAAAAGGTAACCAATTTGTCATCCTCACCGGAGGCATGCCTCCCTAAAGCAGTACAAGAAGAAGAAGAAGAAGAAGAAGAAGAAGAAGAAGAAGAGAACCATTTTTGCTTGCCATGATCGCCATTGAATGAAGACCGTCTCAGTTCATATCCATCGCCCGATAAGCCCTCATTCAGCGAATTTGGAAGCAAGTCTTGATGTTCTTGCGGCTGTACGTCTCGAATTGCAAGTGCCGTTTCCAAAGATATCGGACAGTGCGCACGGGTGATGTGGGAGAGATCTAAATGCAGGTTTTCAAAGCTGTTAATGTGGCAGAAGAGAAGATGACAGAGGTCTTCCTCGGAAATCCGACCGTCGTTCAGGGAGAGAGAGACGAGGCTATCCAATGGCAATGAGCAGAACCGATTATGGGACTCCGAATTGAAGTTGGTGCAGCCTGAGGGAAACGAGAAAGAATCGTTAGAATCATTCCGGGAATCACCAACGGTCCAGGAGGAGGGTACGTCACCGTGAGCACGAGCGCGACCTCCTGCAGCTGTCTTGCTGCGCCGTTTACATGCGCAAGTTGGTTCGGACAGCAGATCGAAATCTCTCGTGATGGTAAGATCTTTCAGTTTGGGGCAGCTAATGTGCAGGTTGTGGTAGCGCTTCGAGTACTTCCCAACGGTGAGCTGCTCTAAATTGGGGCAGTCGATGGTATTCACTGGGCGAGGATGCTTGCCTGCGATCCACACAGTGTTGATGGATTGGTCCCACAGCATGTCAAGCGACCTGAGTGATGAAGAACACACGGAGAATCCCCTTGATGCGACAAAGCATGTGAGAGCCTGTAAGTATGGAATCTGTTGGAAAACGATATCAAACCGCTCCGGAGTGAAGCAAAAATGTCTTCTCACTCCAAGCAGAGTCTCAGAAGTTTCTGTCCCTCCAATCACAAGATGCCGAAGGGGATGCAACTCATGCTCAGCACGAAATGATGGCGACCACCCTTGCCCTAGTACTTCTCCCCCGTCGGCCTTCTCCTCTCCATCTACCTCTTCCTCCTCTCCATCTACCTCTTCCTCCTCCTTATCCTCTTCCTCCTCCTCCTCCTCCTCCTCCACATTCCATCCCTTCTCCTCATGCTCATCATCCTCGCCATCCTCCCCTTCGTCCTCTTTCTTGTCTTTGTCCTCTCCGGCATGATAACTGGCTTGAGGATGAGCTATGTTGGCATTCTGTGGATGATCCCGCCACCATCTCTTGATTTCCTCCCAATTGACAAACCCCGTGAATGGGTATGGGACCTCCTCAACCCAATCGATGTGCAAGGTGCGCAACAAAGGCAACGCGTGCAAAAGGCAGGTGATTACGCTGGCGAGCTCGTCGCATGATTTTGGTTTCCAGACATAAATGTGGAGTGTGGTCAGCTTTGGGAACAAATCGGCAAATGCAGCCATCTGTCGGGGATCTGCCCCCAACGTGAATGACGTGTCCAAGGAAAGCGTCGTTATCGCCACAGGTACAGACATTCTTGTGGATGTCAGCGACCTCTCCCCTGCAACACACCTCTCCCCTCCCCGCCGACACAACTCTCCCCTCCCCTCCGTGTCATTCATCGGCCACAGCCAAGGATCTCTCTTGCAAGCCCGCATTATCGCCATGGCCGACTCTTTAGACACCCATCTCGGCGTCCTCTCCGGTATGATCTCAAAAAACAAGCTCTGCAAGTTCTTGAGAGAGAGGAAGAGGTGGCACAATCTAGTTAATCCCGGTTTGGATGGGCCGAATACTCTCTCAAGGTGATTTCACCGCTGTTGATCGCAAAGAGGGCAAGAAGACCATAGGTCGGACATATTTGTGAGACAAAGGTGAGTGAGAGAGGGAAAGAGAAGGCACAACGCAAAGTACTTCTTTCCAGCATCACAAAGAGGGATGCCGCACCCAGACAGCTGTAATCGTTCCAAAGAAGAGGAGGACGACGCAAGAAGCATGTCCAAGTGGAACTCAAAGCACGAATCGTGGAACCAAAGGTCCACACTGCACAGTCGTCCGCACCTGTGGAAAAGCGTCTGAAGACCATCTTTGTACCCATGGCCCCCAAGGTTTTGCAGAGAGAGATGTTTGAGAGAAGAAGGAAGTACACTTATCCACGGGCAGTACCTGGGGATGGATTCACACCTACTATCTCTCAGCCCCCGTCGGCAGTACCTGTGACCAGATTCACGGCTATTCCGTCTCCGACAGCCAATGTCGCAAGCAGAAAACGACTCCAACAGCTCCATGTGTTGCAGTACATCACCAATCCACTCCTGCCGTTGGTCGTCACGCTCATCATCGGACCAAATGCCCGGCAGGAATTTCAGTACTGACACTTCCCGGATAAGTTTCCTCAATCGCTTGGAGAGTACACACATACTCAGCAACTCTGTGGCATTACAAGCCCCAAGCTCAGTCAGAACCTTCACCACCAACCCATCAGGCAGGCGGTCAAACGGACCATCCATAATGTGAATTGACATGATCCCCTAAAGGGTTGAGAATGCCCGGTGTACGCACCGTAGCGGCGTAGCCCTTCTCCTGCAAGATGTACAAAGAGAACCTGCGTGTCAGAACGATGAAGAGAACCTATATCCCACAACTACTCACTGCAATGCTGGATGGGTAAGGAATGGAGTTCCCTCTCTTACCTGCATGCCTGACTCTCTCTCTCTCTCTCTCTCTCTCTCTCTCTCTCTCTCTCTCTCTCTCTCTCTCTCTCTCTC